GCCAGGCAGTCGTTCTCCAGGAAGGGACGCAGCTGATGTATCAGCCAAAGCTGAAGGAAGGCGCTCCTCGCCACCGCTGCAGAACTGTTAAAGGATAACAACTGCTTTCCCCATTGTGACCTAGTAACACTCATTGCTATTCATACACAATACTTGGTTTAAAAAGTTCAAGTAAAAATCAAACCTCCAAGCTTCAAACAGACTTTAGGAATCCTTAGCTAATATGACATAGCATTCTTTGGAGCTTTGGAGCTTTCAACTGTTCAAAATGCTTCAAATATTATGTCTTGTTATCTTTAGATAAACTGGGTAAGGTACACTGGAATTATTCCAACAAGTGGAACCTGCAACAAAATGTTGCCAATTGGAGCGCTGTACAGCAAACCATACTTTTCTTCAGAGTACTCTATTCTATTCCTCTATGGCCACTGGGAAGCTTTAGTCAGTATGCAGCTTGGTTTTCTTTTTGCTCCCCTTCCCCAGGTTTTCTCTATAAAGTTGTTTTCTATAACTACAAACTTTAGCATTCCCAAACCATATTGCAACATACTATATTTCCCAGTAGCCCTCTTGCATGTAATATTTTTACTAATATTTTCATGAATTTTGTTTTTCGTTTACACCAGCGTAACACAACTATAACAACCAAAAACAAATCTTTATTCTACTTAAGTTTTTCTTTGTCTTGTTATGAAAAAGGGAGGGGTTAGCATAGGCTTGGTTCATTCTACAATTTTCATATTACAAGGATGACATAAAATGTTTTTACTTTCAACCAAGAATGGAATTGAGTATAGGCTCATGCTACGTATTGCAAGCATTTACGTTCTAATAGCATTTAATTTGCTATGCTTAAGTACAATCTGTATAGCAAGTATTAACAATTTTAAATCTAATTAAAATATTAGATTTTAAACATTTTCTAGAATTTTATTCTAATTTCTTTTCAAACTATATTTAGCTGGAAGTCCATGGTTTATGAATAAAATGCACCATTTAAGAAAAAGGACAGTACACTTGAAGAGAGAAACTGAAGACATATCACCAGACACAGAGACTCAGTATGAAACTATTCCATCTATCTCAGAAACTCAGGAAGCTCCTCATCAAATAGTTGGAACAGAGGGAAGAACTGGTAATACAAATTGCTTCTCAAAGCTTTCAGTTTCAGATTATTGTTCAATGCATTATTACAGACTGATAACATGCAGAAGTTACATGCAGATAACATTGAAGTTAGTGGTATTAAGCACACTTAATTCTGCATAGGATTGCAGCCTTGGACACAGATAATGACTCCTAGTCCTACCAATGTAAAGTCACTGTGTAAGTGTGCTGTCTCTCACTTCTTGTAAGAAATAAGATGAAAGAAGTTGTGAGAGGTTGCAAATGGAAAACAGCCTGAATGCACTGGAAAATTCTATGAATGTGCAATAAAAAAAATCTGGAAGCATCCTTAATGTAATTGTACCCCATTTGCCAAGGCCTGTTATATATATTAGAGATATATATTAGATACATAGAAAATCAGTGGGGTGTAGCAATTAAGTGTGTGGGACGGAGTAATGGCTTCTAATCTCCATTGAGCCATGGAGCTAACTGGATGACTTTGGACCAGTCACAGACTTAGTCCAATCCACCTCACAGGGTTATTGCAAGGACAGGACTGGGAGAAGGAAAAGAATTAAGCTGACTTGAGTCACGTGGAAGGAAAAAGGGAGGATATAAATATAATAAATAAATATTCACAGCAAGTAGAGGAATTGCTAGACCCAGGCTTCAAATCTATGTCTCAGTATCCTGACTATGTCACTAGTCGTGAAGTTGTGTCTGACCCATCACGACCCCATGGACAACATTCCCCCAGGCTTTCCTGTTCTCCACCATCCCCCAGAGTCCATTTAAGCTCACACAGACTGCTTCAGTGACTCCATTTAGCCACCTTATTCTCTGCCATCCCCTTCTGCTTTTGCAGTCAATTGTTCACAGCATTAGGGTCTTCTCCAGTGAGTCCTTCCTTTTCATTAGGTGGCCAAAGTATTTGATTTTCATCTTTAGTATCTGGCCTTCTAAAGAGCAGGATTGATCTCATATAAAGCTGACTGGTTTGATCGCCTTGCATTCCAAGGGACTTGCAGGAATCTTCTCCAACACCACAATTCAAAGGCCTCAATTCTTTGGCGCTCAGCCTTCCTTATGGTCCAGCTTTCACAGCCATACATTGCAACTGAGAAAACCATAGTCTTGGCTATATGCACTTTTGTTGGCAGGGTGTGATATCTCTGCTTTTTAGCATGCTGCCTAGAACCATGAATATACTTTAGTGCTAATGGAAGAGCACCCCTCGAGCTTAATTATCATAGTGGAAGAAATCTTCAGGAGCAATTGCGACTGGAGAGGGATGGTTAACCATCTGTCCCATGTGCTTGGAAGCTTTCTGCAAAATTCCCCTGTGTAGCAATAAAGCATGGAAGAATGCATCCATTGGTGATGATGAAAACTATTTTTCTAAATATAATTGCTGTTTGAAGTGCAGGGAATTTCCCGATAAGGTTAATGCTGGG